TTTACCTTAGCTTTGATTGTATATCTCACAATTTTGTTAATTATCATTGTTTATTAAACTCTGAAAACTGTGTGGCTTTGTTAATAATCTGTCCTAAAATGCGGTTAGATGTGCCCTTCTTTTTTTGAGCACCTGCCCCTTTAGTGGTCTCTGCACGGCCCTGGCAGGCTGCTTTGCTCCTCAAGCACAAAATGACCAAATTTCTGTCAAGTAAACGACTGAAGGAACCATCCAGCAGCCTAGCTATGTAGCTCTCTGCTGCAAAAAAACCCCCTAAAAACTACTGGCTGACTAAATCAGAAGGCATGAGGCAATATTTTTGCTAACACATACATATTGCGTAACAGTATTTAAAAAAGTGAGTAACAAACATTGTGCAATGGGGTTCCCCGGCCAGAAGCTAACGCTTTATGCTAACTGTACCAAATTGAAAACATTTCATACATGTTGAACTCATAAATAAACTGTCCCCTTTTTCTGATCATGTTCTCAGAACATAATAGCCTTTTCTTGTGTTTGCTACAACGATGAGACTGATAACATTCTTCCCGACTAAATCCCCCTCTGGCCATATGAGTGAATCCCACTTTCAATTCTGGGAAAGTTATCAAGATGACTATCAAGACCTGGTTTTGCAGAACTTAAACTTGCACTGACTTATCTTCGCGGTGGGATTCTTTGAGCAATTGAGTCGTCCCGTTTTGTCGATACACATCTTGCTTTTATCTGATCAGGTTGTTTCTTTAAGACACTTTCAGTGCCAACAGAGAAACCGCTGAAAGATGTATGTCAAAGCAGTGAAGATCTTAACCACAGAAACCTCCAACTATCTTGTTCTCTTAGATGTTTATCTCTTTGATCCACATTTAGAGCGACACATCTTTTCCAGGATTCAAGCTGTATAATTGATTAAAAATTAGTTATAAGAAGGGAGTTTATTGGTTAAAATTGTTGTATTAATGTCACTTAATGGTAATTTTCACCACTTTTATATTTAGCTACTGAAAAAGAGTTACCATTGAATAATACACATTAGTCTTCAAAGATTGTCCAATTTGGACATTCAGGTAAGAGAGAAGAACTCAGGTCTTTTGTTTGTCCTTTAAAATACATTTTAAGATGGAGGTTTAAGTGGCTAGAGACAGATTTATTTTTTTTGTATTTAAAAGGCATTTATCGTATCGTTTATCATTTATCTCGATAAGAATTCTGATTTATCGTTGCCATGATAATTCCTAATTTAAAAAAAACAACAAATCCGTCCGTATTGTTAGTTGTAGTATTTTTTTCCCCACTGTTTATTCAACGACAGTATCAATAAATATCGATAAATGCAGTCAGTGTGATCAGTATAGTGATAAAAGTCATATTAATTTTTGGGACTGGCGTCTTAAGAAGCGTATAACTAATGGGAATATTTTTCAACAGCAGTATTTGTGGGGCTATGACTGCTGCGCCATGCAGTCATAGCAATAAAAAAATGTAATAGTTCTTATTGTCATTTTTGTTGTTATCACGATAGTACCACAAAATATCGGGATAAAAGATTAAGTCCAAATTGCCCACCTCTAACACATAGAGTTCTTTCTCTTAGAAAAACAGAATATTCAGTGTTTGAAAACAATACAGAGACTTTCTGTAAATTATAAATAATGACAGGACACACGGACATTTTGGGCATCAAACACATTTTATTTGAACTTATGCAGATTATTTCAACACAGTGCACATGCAATGTTTAAATTATCACTGTATGTTTGTACCAAGTTTTTTATTTTATTTTGTTTTTTTATTTGAAATGTAAATATTTCAACATTTAGGTAATAAATTAACAAACGTAAGCATTACCAGAAACACCGCCCACAATGTGTGTACACTTTCAACAAAGCATAAAATTACAGAAATTAATAAATCAGCAATGTTTTGTATTTATAGCTTTTTTTATGAAAATGTTTTTTCTTAAAAACACAAATTCAGTGAGACACCAGAAAAATGAGAGAAAAAATAAAAAATAAAATCACATTTGACTCATGTTTACAATAAGAAAAAAAATCCAAACAGGTCTTTCACTTAAAGGTATTGTGTGTAGGATTTTTCGCTGGACATTATTTTACCAAACAGATTAACAAGTGCTACAACATGAAGTCACAATGAGCCACTTTAGAGTCGTTTTCTGGAAATTTGGCTTCCAGACAGCAAGAAAAGAGGCAAACGTGACCAACTTTGCACACTTCGTCCAACAATCAAAGTGCATTTTTCAGGATTCCTCAGCAAAGCCAGAACCATTGTTTTGTCTAATGACCAGAGGTAATTAACCACTGCTCAGGCCTGAACAGTGGTTTTATTTAAGACCAACACATATTCTCTTAGAGGATACTACACATAGCACCTTTAACATTTTTCCACCTCAAAACATCAGAAACACAGTAAGAAGTTGTGAAGAAAATGCACAAATCCTTAAAAACGCATCACAGATAAAGAAGCAAACAGAGCATGTACATTTATGAATGTATTGATGATTTTATTTTGTGACCACTGAGAACCACTGAGTGTCGACTTGTTATACGTGTGGTGGAGCATTAAGATGCAAAATAATGCCTTAAAAAACAAAAAAGGAAAACTTTAGTTGTGGGCCTGAGAGATGGAGGTAGAAACGCAGGGAAAGTGGCTAAAATCCAGCTCATACATGATTTATTTAGTATTAAGTACTGTATGTTTCAGTAGCGTAGATATATATGGCTTTCCTCTCTCTAAGCTGTCCAAAGTGCATTTAATGTCGTCATTAAGTAGGAAACGTAGGCGTCTGAAGGTGATATATGTCCTTTATGCTGCACAAAAAACTGGGCAAATTTACAAGCATTCCCAAATTTATGTAATTAGTTTACATCTGGTAAACCAAACTAGCAAAGAAAAAAAAGCAAATAAATTAAGATTACCCCTCAAAAGTTGCCAATTTTAGACAAATTTTGTGATTTTTTGACAGCTGACGAAATTTTCTTTGAAAATCAGCAAATGGTTTACATTTTTTGGTATTTATTATGTTTTATGATTTACTTAAAGTCTAACTAACCCCCAAATCAATGGGGTTTGTTTTAACTGATAAACTGCCTATGTAGGTTGTTTAAAGTGCTATCGTTATATTTCTTTTCAAATTTTGACATTTTTGTGTACATTTGTTTAGTTTTGTGTTACTTCGCCTATAACCATGTCAGTTGTAATCTGGCCATTGCTTTCCTTTGCTTTTCCAGTCTTGCTTAACGAACCAAAGCGTAATTTATTTACTGCTATTACGTTGCATTAAAACAGTGAAAATTTACAACCATTTCCAAATTTTACGTGAATAGTAAAATGTACCAGCAGGGAAAATAGTAAATATATAAATAAATAAAACGCCCCCCAAAAGTTGTCAGTTGGACTCATTTTGTGAATTTTTGACAAAAACTGGATTTTTTTTTTTACACTTTTAACCCCCAAATCACCTTGTTTAAAAAAAAAAATTTGATAAATTACCTAAATTGATTATTTAGTGTTCTCTTGTTATATTTTTGTGCAAATTTAGACATTTTCATGTAAGTTTGTGTAGTTTTGCCTAAAACCATCTCATGTGTCTTTGCCATTGCTTTTCTACGCCGTTACACTCAGAGCGAAGCGAAGTGCAGCGAAGAACAACGGCTAATTTTTACCTGACTGCTGCTCAGATCCGTTATTATACAAAAAACACCGTGAAAATTTCCACACATTAATTTTAGATAGTTTACATCTGATAAACTGTTCCAGCAAAGACAGAAGTGCAAAAAACAAAAACTAGAAAAGTTTTCAGTTAGACCAGTTTAGTGACTGTTTAACAAACTGACGATGCATTGGTTTTCATTAAATTGAAAGGAAAAATGTGCTTTACGCTTATTTTGTATTTATCATTTTTACAACTCCACATTTTTTTTAAATAGCTTTCGTTTCCACTGGTTCTGCAAAACTATAATCCTGAAATACAGCCAAACATTTCGCTCAGATGCATAACTGCCTTCTTGGTGAATCAGGCTCAACCAGGCGAACCTGAAGTGCCACCATGATGCTCAAACGCCTTTTTTGAAATCTCATTCTTGCCAACAATTGACTCTCAGTTGCATAACCTTCACACTTTACAGATGCTTTGTCCTTTGATGATTGGATTATTTTTTAAACCGTCAGTAAATCCGAACGCAGCTTTAAATCAACTTGAGTTCTGGTCATTATTTGCTGTTAATAATCTGAACATCTAAGTTTTTTAAAAGATGCACAGACTCGTCTTTTGGCTGTTCTGTTCTGCAAGCAAATCCACATTTCTTTGAATTGTGTTCACAAGATTTTCTATTAATATTTAAAAGTTGTTTTGAACTATCTTTTTCTACTTAGCTGGTGTTTAGTTCTCACAGCAATAAAAACACATCCATAAAAATAATGTCAGCTTTGTCCACATTTGATAGGCACATTTAGTTACAGACTGGCCTTTGAATGGCTTTTATATGACTAGATTAGCGTTAAACCAGAAGTAAACTTGCACTTTGAGGTGAATACTATTAAAATATTTTTCTTCTCATGGCTTATGGCTCTAGCTTTTCTTATTTATGTATTTTAATACGCTGCATAATTTTTTCTAAAGTAAATTTTAGGTGAGATAAAATATTTTGCTGGTTATAATGTAAAGTGAAATAAAATTCACAGCTGCCTTACGATTGTGACATCTTTGAACGCGTCGTGTTGTGGATTCTGATTGTGAAGTTTCTACAACATGTATCAGGAAGTTTGACTTATTAGGTGATCTGGCTTAAGAGTTTTAATTTTAAAGTTATTTTTAAAATCCTTTTTTAGAGAACATGAACAAACAAGTCATCAATTAAGAAAATTAATGCAAAATAATATCCTGATGGAAGCTCAGCGACTCAACGTACGGCTGTAAATGTAAATCCATATAAATCACTAAATGGCACTAGGAACTAATCAAACGTATAATTGCTATTGAGAAAGAAGTAAGACTTCAGGGCGGAGAAGCACTGCTATGTCTGTTAAGGCTAAACCAACGAGAATCTGAAAAAAAAATTATGCAAAGCAAACATTTTGAAATCTGATGTCTGTTTTTCCCCATCCTACCAATGAGTTGGTAGTCCACTGGTCCGACAAATCAGAAACGCTTCTCTGTCGGCTTACAACTAAAACTAAAACCACTTAGGCTCCATTCACAACAAAGGTCTTGTCCACAAATAGCCAGATATCTGGAAAAACTCATAAATTTGTGTGTTTTAGCCTTTCATCCAAACAAAAACTCAGATTAAGGTCACTAAAAACTGTTTAAAAAACTCAGACCAAGGTGGAGGTTTGAGAAAACTCCGTATTCGTGCTTGCATAAGATTTAGGGTCATGGGCGTTACAGTCTGCACCAAATAATGTGCCAATATATCTACATACTTGCTTTGACATGACACCCAATCAACATTGTGTTGTGTTTGACTAACTTTATATTCTAATACGCTAGTTAAAAGTATCTATCTGTCCACACAAACCTCCTGGCGCAATGTTTAATTCGTAACAGGAAATTGTTTTGAAGCAATCCGATTGGTTGATGTAGGTTTTAGCTTTGCGCTACACTGCCCCCTATAGGTTTGGCATATTTAAAGTAACACTGAGTCACATACTTGTGTGAGTTCATGTGGATGAAAACCCTTTCTGAAACTGATCCTGTTTGTACGTGGCAGAGATATTTGTTTTTATGAAGACCTGGCTATGTGTGTACAAGGCATTATCCCGGGTGAAGAACACACACCTCCAAATTACGCATAGGTTGCTGGGAGACAAGAAGGGTTGGGAGTCGTTTGCTTGCAGTTAAAATGTAAAATCTATTCGTTGTCATCAATGTGAAGAGGATGAGAAAAAGTGCAAGCAGCTGCCTATGAGGTTGATAAACCTTTGTACGATAACCGGATCACAGTTTCTAAATAACAATCAGCATTCAGAGTTATTGTGTGATCCGCTCATCATGATTGGGAAAGAAAACAGATTTTGAGCACGAAATCCTGATTGGCAGTGTCGCTTTTGCTCGTCCAGAATATCAATCTACCTGCATCAATGCTGATAAGCCAACGATCCTGACGGAGTTTGCTCCTCCTCTTTGGGTCTGAAACTGATGGTGGAGGTGCGGAAACGTCCCACTTACAGAGGGATCATTTGTAAACGCAGCGAACACGCACGCAACCTGACTGCAGCAAGAGCCGTACAGCCTTTAAACTCACTGGTTTCCATGGTTACCTGCAATCATCTTGCCGTTTTAACATTAGCTAGCATGTTGTCAGCACACTACAAAGTTTTGCTACCAAATTTACATTAGTGAATGAGATGCGTCTTAAGGAGCCATAAGCATAAAATGCAGGTGAGGCGATAAATGGTGAGAGAAAACGGCACAAACGTCGGACATTACGATGACTACCGTTGGTTTTAGCTGTTACGTTGGCAATATAAGTGCTAAATCTTAAATGTATGCCTGATATATAAAAGAAAAAGGGACGCAGTGCTTTGCTACCAATTATCAACACTACAACAACTAGATAACAATGTTAGGAAAAATTTTAATCCCGAAAAAATGAGCGAAGGAGAGGGAAGTAGTTCAGTTATGCTAGCTTGAGTTTGACGATCTTAACATGTGGATGCGACGCCGGACATCTGTGCGTTTCGGCTCAGTTACAAAATAAAAAAAGTGACCTAAACACCAGCTCTGACATATCACAATAAAAACATAAAACTGTAACAGACTGAATGCTGTGTGTGAAATATTTGCGTGTTTGTTGGTGTTAAATTCTGAAACGTAAGGTGCCGTTGTTGTCGGTTGCTATGGCAAGAAAAAAAAAAGTGGTTCTGAGTTGTTCAACGGTTTTTCTGCATTATTTTCCCTTTGCTGTGGCGCACTACACCAAGTGGGGCCTAAACTTTATTTTTAAGTAGGGTTTAGTGGTCTGCTTTTCTAATTAATTGTGGACTCAGCTATCCTTTTATGTAAATAAAGAGAAATTTGTGCTGCATCAGCTGTTGCTAAAAAGCTGGAAACTCAATGAACAAAGCAGAAAAATATATATTTTTTAAAAACTACAATTGTTGAATTAAAATCAACATTAGGCTTAGCTAATGTTGGTCTTGTTTTTGTGTACAACATCCTAGAAACACAATCACCAAATAAATGATTTCTAATAAGTGTTTTTAACGTTGCACTTCACACAGCCTTATATCTCCCAAGGCATTCTTGTGGCACCGTATTTAACAACCTATCAGTTACTTGATTTTGCCTTTTTCCTCATTTCGAGACGCGTCATCTGCTCTACACGAACATCGCTGTGTTGCACAAACACTATGGCCGTTGTTTCAGGTCTTGCATATTATTTTAACACTTCTGTGTGGGAGTTATTTTGTTTTTACACATGAAATAATTAATGAAGTACCAGCCCTTCTTTAATGAAAATACAGAGGACACTCGGATGTCTCCGGATACACAAGCTGGAAATGATTCTGAAATGGGATGCTTCAGGATTATAAATAATGACATGCTGGTCATTGTCACATTCAAAGGTTTGTTAAAAGTATAAGGTTGAAATAGTTGGACCTGAGATTTAGCAATTTGCTGATGTTCAGAGATTAGCTGTGTATTTATGAGAGTTTGAGGTTTTTCTTGTAACTTGTGAGTAGAAAGAATGTTCTTTTTGGAAATGCTAATTAATGTCTTCCTAAAGTTCACATGGAAAAGAAAAACGCTCCATTCATCTTACTAATCATCTACAAGGGTAGGTAACTTTTAAAACAAAGATGCTAAGAGTGGATCTGAGTGTTAATGAGCCTAATTTTATTAGAGCTTAAACTGCGTGTCATCAGCAAAGAAGGAAAGAAAAATACATATATAGCTTTTATTTTATTCAAAAAATTCTGCTGTACATAATTTTCTAGCATGATTGTGCTTCCGTACCCTCAGAGTAAAGTTGGGTGCGATATCCCTGTGTGATTGAGGGTTGATTAGATCTCAACTGGCACTAATTTCAAGGTCAGTAAAAGATTTTTCAGCATTGGGTAGTAGAACAGCTATTGCTTAAAGGACAGGGATCGAAGGAATTACATATGGCTTGCCTGAACGCCTTGGTGTTTTTGCATAACTGGGTGATTCTCTGCTGTCCGGTTCAGATTCAGGGTGAATGCCGGGTAAATGTGGGTTAAATTCAGTGTTAAAATGTTGCTTTTTAGGTACTTATGAATGGGAAAGTGTTTCTAAATGGTGAGTCTTTGCATTATTGAGATGTTTAACCGCCTTCTACTGTAGGCATGGGCCAGTTATCGTTACCGTAATCCAAGGTTACACCATTTTTTCAGCAGAGGTTGAGCTAATGCAGCACTTCCCCTCCCCTACATGTTGCTAAAACACTGACAGTTATCTTGACTTTTCTTCACATGCAACAAAATGTGGAAATGTTTCCAGTCGTGAAAAATAAACAGTTATTTTATGTATAAGAATCATCACTGTAATATTCAGTGTTATTTGAGAAGTTGTAACAGCCGTTGGTGTTTTTCAGTTTCAAGCAGAAGCAGTAAAATTTCTTTATACATTTTTTGCTTTCAGTTTTGGCGAAAATACCATAAAACTGGTGGGAATCTCAAACCAGCCCATGCCTAACTTACAAAGGTGTTTAAAGTAGGCCTGTTGCAATAAATCAATGAATCACAAGACACATTAAAATGAGATCAATAATTTCCATTTTTATGGTTTATTGATCTTTCGACCAAATATTGGATGACAAAAGTATCGAGTCTGGTCTCAACTAATCTTTTTGTTGAAAAACAAGAGACTTTATAATTGATTTTATTTGGCATTTCAGTTTATTTATTTTGGATATTTAAAATATTTTCCATTTCTAGTGTTAGATGTTCATACAAAATTAAAGCTTAATGATATTTGCCATTATATTACTTGAAAATGGTCTCAAAAAACAATATCGTTTATCGCAATAACTTGTGGGCCAATTTATCGTCCAGCAAAATTTGTTATTGTGACAGGCCTAATTAAAATACCTAAAAATGGCTACAATGATGTAAAATAGAAAACATCCAAAAGCGCCAGAGCCTTCCTTTAATTGTGCAGGCAAATATGAAGAGTGATATGAAGCCATAAACAAGAGATGGCATATGAAAAATGAATAATTAGCATATAAAAATTTTGATTTAAGAGAAGATGCACCAGCACCAAACTGGTTCTTCACAGGAGAATTATTAAAATACATAAAAAATAATTTAAAAAAAGAAGTGATGAGGACAAAACAAGGAGCCCACCCTGCTTTGTGTACCAATAAGCAGAAAAGGCAACACAGGATGATGAGCAGTGAGGGAGCAGAGGGTGTGCCGGACCAGTGTGTGACTTTAATATGCAGTAAATGATAGAAATAGTGGCTAACGTACGTTAGTTACACATTGGTGGATATCTTGTACTTGGGAGACATGTTATTATGGAACCAGATGAAACTAAAAATGAGGCCCAGGGATTTGGGTATACGTTCGTCGTAGGCAAACGTCATGGCCTCGTGCAGCGGGACTTTGACGACCTCGATGAGTTCCCCCTCGCGCGGGTCGCCTCCGCCGGCGCTCACGCAGTTGTCGTCGGAAACCTCGGCGTAAAACATGGTCTGCTTCGAACCTATTACACCCACGCTTGATCTGCAGAGGAAAAAACAAACTTGAAAATCAGTAGTTTGGAAAAACCCTTGAACTTTCCCACATTTCCTCAAAACTTAATGTGAATGAATGCTTTTCTACTTATTTTTTTTATGCATAAAGCTGTTAAAATTGGCTGGGCGTTTGTATTAAAGCCTCTTCGGCCTGGTGTAATATTTCTACAGGATTTCCCCAACAGAAAAACAATAATGTGATGAGAATGAAACTGTGGCAAATACTTTTTAGGCCCGAGCAGCTAAGCGCTGCGAGAGCCTATTGAAACCTTGCTGTAAATTATTATTATTATTCTTAT